TAAAATCGTTCCGCGTTTGCTTCAATATTCTTAACTTTCAAAAATCAATAGAAATTTTAAAAAGTAATTTATTTATTGATGGAAAATGAAGTTAATCAACACAAATATTTAAAAAGCATTTCTTAACAAGATTGTAACAAATATGAAAAGTATTCAAAGGCACTGTTCGAGTCCTCGAGTTTGAGTTTCAAAAGAAGAGCTGCCGAAGTGCCAACGTTTTCTTCTTCTGTCTCTCCGCGGCTGTGAAGTTCATTCAGCTTAAATTAAACTCAGATAGTTGAAAATCTAATTTTGAGAATAAATATCGAATTTCGAAAATTTGATGAAAAAGGTTTTCCTATCTTTTTATTCAACAAACTCATAGACGTTCTTTCGAAATATTTCATATTTCATTTTATTAATTTCTGCTAAATTTTGCGAAAAAAAACCGAAATTTTTATTTCTTATCTTTTCCGTACTTCCCAAATCAAAACATTCCTTTGCTTTCATTTATGAATAAATATTACTTGCTTATCACCATTTCTAAATAATTTTCTTCCATTTGCTGTTTGCATGATGGAGCGAATTTAATCAGTAATAGTGGACTTTCAAAAAAAATGAACAATAATAATACAGTTAATAACAATGAGTTAGTTCACTATTCTTAGGAAGACGATGAAAGGCTCGCCAGTACCAACTGGTTTATAAATATTCATTAATGGCGAAGCCACGAGTTTGGACGTTTGGATATAAGAAATAAGAACTCTTGAAGTTTCCTTTCTCAGTTAGTTTAAGTTTGAATTCGGAAGAAAATCTTTGAAATCGCTGAAAAGATTTCTTTTGACGAACAGTGATAATTGGAAAATTATTGGAAATTTTCATCATTCCGCTAAGAACCACAAAAAAACACTAATTATCCCAAGAATTTATAAAAATAAAATAGAATAAATTTAAAAATAAAAATTTATTTAAAACAATGCCGAATTCGATGAAAAATGAAACGAACAAAACAAATGACCGAAAAATTGATAACCTGATAAACAAATGCTGCTTTATCAATGTTTTACCGTTCAAGAAAAACTGCAGAAACTTTGACAAAAACTCCACTTTTACCTATTTCAGTTTTTTTCTTTATAAATGAAATCGTTCAGCGTTCAGCCATTCGCTCCTCCTTAGCAGGTTATTTATGGTTTAATGATGCATTATGATGGGAAAAAAGATTTATTATTTTAAATTATTAATGATAAATTTCTATATGGATGTAAATAGAATTTCCTGCAAAGATATTAAATCATGGGGACAAGCGAAATAAATAAATTCACAAGTTTCATTTAAATTTTATGTTAAAAAAATTGACAAAAAAGAAATTATTTTGAAAAAAAATTTTATTCAAAGTAATAACAATATTATAAGCCCAAAATTTATATGAAGCATATTTCAAAATTTTAAGACTTCAAACTTTAAATTCAAATTTAATAATTTTGACAATACTTTTGAAAAAAATCCCTCATCAAATATTTCATACGCACAAAATAAAATTTAATCGCAAGAATTTAAGGATTTTGAAAATTTTTGAAAGTTTTGAAAAAAATAACGCAACCGGTGTATTTCAACACAGAAATAATAAAAAATTAAAAAATTTCTTAGCGAACTCAAATGATTTTTCAATTATTTTGCATATTTATGGTAATTTTTGAATAATTGAATAATTATTCGTGATATCTTTATTATTAAATTTCTATGGAATTTCGATAATAACGCCTAATACAAAACTATGGTTCGAATTCCCTTATACATCAAACTGATTTTTAAGAGGAGTATTTTCCAGTTGGTTGGCTTTTTTTGCAATAACTTTGTTTTCTTCATTATCAGGTATATGAAATCCAACAAAAACGTAATATGACCATGCGAAAAAAATGGCTCCAAGTATTGGTGCAACAATTGGGATCCAAAAATAATAATTATGATAGCTGAAATTCTTCATTCGCTACTGTTAAGTGACGTATATTAAAAAGACACGAAATTATAACAAAAAAAAGTTGATTAAAAGCAAAGAGTATGAAAAAAAAAATTTTAATACTTAATATTTCAATTTTAAATCCACAGAAATATATCATGGCTGCGTGGCCATTAATCTATGTTTATGTGGCTCTATAGTGAAAGATATCGGTTATATTGCAAAATTGGTTCCCAAATCTGGAAATGGAATGTCGAACCAGGATAACTGCCTAATATCAGTGGAAAAGAACAACCATCCGTCAGCTTGGTGAACACGCGGCTACTTATGGTAAAAAGTGTGGAACGTTGGAACTCTTATGATCTATTGAGATAATCGTCGTTGTCCAAAAATCATGTGGGTATTGTTTGTTTGTCCGACATTTCCGACCTCGTGAAATTATTATCAATTATAATTGGCTAGAAGCAGACATACTAGCTGTATAACTGTGATGCTTCGGACAATTAGGTACGAAATGGTCGAAATGGTCTAGTAATTGTCATATCTGAAAGAGCTGACTACATAAAAGTTCAGTTAATGCGTAGCTTCCATCCGATTCAAAGGAAAGTTCTGTTTGCTTCGTTCTACTTATGTTTCTGTGTTATGCTCAGATTCTCGCTGCAAATATGAGTTGAATGATGCAAAGATGCGGAGCTTCGACTGTTAACAACATCTCTCCCAAAAAAAAGACATGATCATAGTCGAGGACTGGAATACGCGCGTAAGTCATGGTGGGTTCCATGGTGAGCAAATGAGATCCGGTACGCCAGTGGAAAGCACCTTGTTCATTTTGACGAGCATGGATTTTCTATTATCAATAAACGGTCTAGAAAGACATCAAATCACATGGACGGATAACCAATATTCTGATTATTCTGATTACAGATTGGTCAATCATCACTGAAACAGTTCCGTACTAAATAGTTGTTTCATTTGCCGCAAACTAGTAATTTTCACGACTAATTACACGATTACACGACTAAATGGGATAAGACTAATTATGATGGCTCGAATCAAGATCTATAAGAAACTGACATCATATAAAAAACAATAAACTTCTAAACCTTACTTCTAAACTTTTCAACTATCTCAAACTAAAAGATTTGGGAATAACACATTTTAATACAGCGCAATAATCGAATATACCCAAAAGATGTAAAAAATGTCAAAGATATTCTATAGCAACCGGTGAATATTGATCCTAACTAAAAATAAGCCCTCGAAAATTAAATCCACTGCCACTATGAAACATGCTAGTTGCGTATTGGAAGTAACAGTCAATTGTTCGAAAAGTCTGCACATGTCTGGAGATCCTGGCTATTCGTCGCTTCAAAGGCATACAACAACACCACCACCGCGAGAAAGAAACCTATTGGAGTGATATAATCCTTAATACAAAAACGGTTGCTGAAGTAAACAATAATAGAAAGCCCTTGTGCGTTTTTCATAAAATAAACATAACTCGAGAAGCGAAATTGAAATGTAAAATGATCCGAAAATGATGGTGTGCTTATTAGAGTTTTACGAGACCATGTAGATAGAATTAGACCAAATTTAACCACGATACGCCATTCCATACATAACTAACCAAGCCATATGTTGCCAACGAAGCAAAGAATAATCTTCGTCATTCAGAAGTTTAAAAAAAATAAAACTATAGAATAATATAGTCTCTGGGCTAAAGTCTTCAAGTGTTATCCAACAAGTTTTACAACTCATTTCAAATCAAAGAGAGGATAGAGAGGCTCAGGGGGTTTTTGCTCAATTCGGAGCGCCGATGCTGAGGTTCTCCACAGGAGTAAGCCTGTATAAAAATCCGAGTAGTGCTGGCGACCCACCTGCACTTCTACCGGTAAGGGACTTCCTGGCATATTTGTCTAGTGCGACAAGCCAGTGCAGCGAGCTTAACCAGTAATGGTGAGGACGCTTAAAAAAAAAATCAAGGTGGAGAGGGAGCAAATATTCTAATCAAATATTCATGGTAAGATGAGGTTGGAACATCGCCCCAATATCGGCAACCCACCATATCATTTGCCTGCAGTTGCCTTCGATTCAGTTGATAGAACAGGGAAAGACTGATGGAATATGATGTTCCAGAAAAGATTTTTTGACTTATAGCAACATTTTATTTAGTGTACATCCGTTTGGACCTACGTGTATGGGGAATTGATCTTATCGAAACAAAAAATGGTGCTCGTCAGAGTTTCAAATACACACGGTTGTTTGGATTATGGACATCGTTTACCTACATTCAAGAGGTACAAAAATCAATCCAGAGCAAAGCGCCACAGATTTTGAAATGAAGACGTGGTATTTTTTGTTGACAATTATAAAGTATTGCAAAAGGATATCAACACAAATGTGATGAAAGTCTTCATCGGATAAACTTTATACCGCTTTTTCATTTTCATTATTTTCATTTTCATGAAAATTCGCATCTGTATGTTCACACTTCAGACTAACCTGTTATGAAATGGATCAATTAAGAGATGAAGATATTAAGAAACCATCTACATTCAATCCAAAGGTAACATGCTCGCCATAAGGACAAAATCTCGCATGAGTGCACCCATCTACACTCAGATACTACAAAATATCGTTCATATATCTTCGCCTATGCTGATAAGGCCATATCTTTCGTCGTTCAGCAAGGGAACTGACGGAAATCTCCATAGTGATGGAAATCCTCCATAGAAAATCTAGACATGGCGTAATAAGAAAATATTTTGAATTTATAGGCGGCCCAGCGAAATAGCGGCTTAAACGGTAGGAAATTTTAATCTCTGGCATAGGCGACATCGGATCTATTATTTACAGCCAGCCAGTTGCTGCTAGAAGAACAAGAAAGATAACCTTCTTATCAAGTACTTCTAGCTTGGCTGGCTGCAATGGCTTAAGGCATAATACCAGTTCACCAGAAAGCAGCAAAAATCCTGCAAATCAACTGGTGATAAAAGCACAGATATACTCACATACCATACCACAATAGTAAATTCGACGTAAATAATTTTTTCACTTTATATGTTCAGTATTTTAGAGATAAGACTAACGTAAAGACTTCAATCCCGTAACCGATCATAGCTGCGAAAATACGTGGTGCAAGATCCCGAGCAGGATTTATTGGATATCCTAGATTCATGCCGAATGCCATTCCAATTAATGCAACTACAAAACCAAATAACAAAGCATGAAGTGCTGCAGGTATATTGATACGTTTATCAATGACCACTGATGCAAATAGTGCTAGAAATCCAGTTCCAACAAACTAAAAATAAAAATTGGTAGTTCAAACGAGAATCAAATAGCAAAATTACTTAAGAAAATTAAAGGCTATGTTGATCACTTCAGCAATCTTCTCCTTTATTCCTGTTGCACCACTGGAATAAAGTGTACAATAATCGAAAAACTTTTAGCCTCAAATCAAATTTAAATTGGCTCTTTATGGGTATTGATTAATATAAACTTAAAATTCTTTATATTTAATTCTTCATAAATCTCTTAAACTCTTTAAATATCATTTATCTGCCACAGTTATTTATTATTCAATAAATTAATTAAAAGAAAAATAACTTGATATTACTTGATCAAAGAAAGCAATTGTATTCGATAGGTGTGGTGGTGGCATTGAAGTAAAGAGGGTTGCAGTAGCATTTGGACCAACGGCAATTCGTTCAACACCCAGTACATGATATATTTGATCTTTACAGAAGAAATTTTTTTAATTCAAATTTAATTAGCTTTAAAATCCAAAATAAAATATTCCAAAACTCGTCGGTTTTTATATTATATTATATATTATATTTTATATATTATATACTATATATTATATATTATATTGGGCGAAAATAACTCTGCTAATCAGTTGGTTTAATTTTTATCTAAATAGCTAGGCAATTCAGATTATTTATTACAATTGAGACAGGTAAGAAATAGAGAAGACGACGACCACCGTATTTACATACGTATCTGCTCGAATTATAGAGAACAAATTTAGAATAATTTATCAAAAAGTTATATGTAAAAATTTATACGTAAAAAAGTTGCAAATCACCGTAATATAATAAATATGCGCAGATTGTTCCAATAAAAGCACCAATTAATTGGCAAAAACTATATGCAAAAACATAAGAAAGAGGTATTTTGCCAAAAGTATAGAACAAAACCGAAATTGCCGGATTCAAATGGCCACCTAAAAATTAAAATTCATCTTATTTACTTCATATTTGTAAAATATTATAGGTTATTTTTTAGCAATAGCAGAAAATTTGAATAAGCATTTCCCATAATAGTTTAGACGCGAAAGCAACGCCACGCACTAATGAACAAAATTAAATAATCTTCAAATTTTTCTGCGAGGGATTTAAAAATTGTGCAATTAATGAACTCACTGCTTGCGAAGTACCTATAATAGATTTCTATTGCTGAAACTATCTTAACACAGGAGTTTATACCGAGTATGATCGAAACAGTATTTTATTTCTTTCTTATATTTGTGGAGCTAGAGGCACATCAATATTCTCGAAATAAGACTATTTTTGGCCGAAAATCCGGTCATTGTTTTTGTCAAACTTCGCTGATTGAAATGTTATGTTTCTAATTATGGTAATCAGCAATATCTCAGGTGCCATTAGGAAAGATCTCTCCTACTCGTGAGGGTGCATTTACCACTGAAACCTAGAGGTAAGAATCATATATTTACTGTTTTATTAAAATTGTTAATCATTCTTTCGACATATTTGAATCCTTAATTATCGAAATTTTTTTACAATCGAAAATATTTTCCTTCAATATGTACAGGCCACCTGATTATTACAGTAATTTCACTTCTTATTTTAATAATTTTTCTTGATTTTAACAAATAATGATTGGGCGAACTACGTTTATATTTGATGACTTTTTGAATTTCTATTCGTATGTCGATTTAAAACAATATTTTAATATTCCTACTAGTTTTCGAATATCCTAGATGTCTTAATACCATATACTTAATACTTCGTCTTCTTATTAGAACCATTTTTCACCAGTGATCACGTTATACACATCGACTCAAAGCTATCCATTCACCTCTATCCCATACTTTAGGGATGTTTTAATTATGCCATCAACTCATGTATTGCATCCGCGAATTTCTTCTTTCTTTCTTAGAATCACTGAACCAAGAATTAGACACATTAAATATTATTTTGTTAGCCCTAGTCGAAAAATTTATTCCTTTAGTGAAGAAAATTAGTATAAGGATTTCTAAATTCTTAAGGCCTTTGAAAAGAATTTTCGTAGAACAATTTATGAAAATTTCCTGACAAAAGAGGATAAATATTAAATTTCGTGCTATCTGGCATTATTCTGAAGTTATGCCAAAAATAAATTTTCCAATCCAAGAAAATAACCTAGTTTAAAAATGGGTTCTCAATGAGGATATAGACAACAACGCTATTGCATTTAACATTTAGCAATTATTTCTCTCGCCATTTTTTTACATAATGCTATGGCTCGACTATGGCTAACCAGTTTAATGCTCCATAGTTTTCAAATATTAATTCTTCATTATTAGATATATACTCTAAAATTAGAGTCGCCCTTATCCAATGAGCTCGATTAAAACTCTATAACTGGGGGTATCGATACTTTTATCTACTCTCCACAACTTACTTGAATGGTCAGAGCATTCAGTTAACCTGGTACCACAGGACCTTGTATAGGTGAGATATTTTAATATATATTAATGGTGTATTGTTTTGAAATTGAAAAGCATTTAATTCTATGCAAATGACTAAAATTTATTTCTCATATGGTAAATGGGAGAACATTTTTCAAGAAAATTTATTGTACAGTTATATGACTTCAGGAAGGATTAAATCGATAGAAAGTATAAAATTTTACATATCTACACCAATGCTCCGATCCCTCTATTATCTCTGTTTGATAATTCAGCATTTGATTCATTAATTAATGAGAAACTTAATTTCGGCCTATATAAAGTAAGCAAAAATCAATTGTTAACAAAAATCCCAGAGAATTTTTAATCAGATGCTTAAAACTTTTGAAATAGGTCAAAATTTTCCTAATTAAATTCATAAAACTTACATCCAAAATTTAGATTTAAATTAAATTTAAATTTAAATTTAATGCAATAGGTTGAGCAAGAAGTACTTCCTACGATGCTTATTCTAGCCTCACTTCTTCTTATAAATTCAAAGTTAGATAATTTTACTTCACTAAGAGTTACAAAAATCAACTTCTGTCATATCAAACTGTTTTAATTATTGTGAATTCAACCTGAATTTTAACGGTACCAGAGGATTGGACTGTTCTATTTGAAACCAATGTTCTTTTTCACAGTTTTTTCATTCATTCGAAATGTTAACTGTTGCAAGGTGTTGTTTTTGCCCCAGTTGTCTCCAATTTAAAAGAAATCTCAATAGCTCATCGATAATTTTGTCGCAAAAAAAAATTTGCAAAAATTTCGATTTAACATTAATATTGTTTTCCATTCTTTTTATTTATATTATTTACATTACATTACTCTCCGTTCACCACTTTTCTAATATAAATAATTTAATTATAAAGGGAGAAAATTTAAGATTTCCAAGAAAAAATCTCTGGAATTGAGGAAAGAAAGGAAATCTCTAATTCATACAATGGATAATAAGGAAGGGTAAAAAAATGATTTCAAATATCTCGTCTGCCTCATCGTATTTCATTTTTGAAATTATTTCAACAAATTTTACTAACCAGAAGTTTTTGAAGCCGCATAAACACAGAACGTAATCGCGAATCCCCATCCAAAATTTATCTGAATCCAAGTATTTAGAGATTTCTTGCTAAGATCCGTCTGGCAAACAATGCTGATTCCGAGGAACTGCAATCGAATAATTTAAGGACTCCTCAAAAGAAGAAATATCCATCGTTTGTATCCATAACTCTTACAATTTGTTACATATCAATATATCAAATAATATTAATCAATATATTAATCAATATTAATCAATAATATTAATCAATATATCAATTTCTTACTGATAGAACAATTCAGTATATCGAAAGTTTTGATTTAAAAGGTTCGTTAGAATTCTTATTCAGCCTTAATTCATTTCGATTCATTCCGATTCATTCACAAGTTCACTCGAATTCAATTTTCTTTATTCATTGGAGGCATATTCCGGGCAAATTTTATTGAACAAAATCTTTGTAGATGAATAAAATACAAACGTGAAGTTTGGCTATTACTGTTCGTGAAGAAAGCTTAGTCGAACGCAGTGGTGACATATGGAGGCACAGCAGGATAGTGGGCAGCGGCTGCCGTCTGGAATATTCGGATTCTGTAGTATGCTACTGCTAAGTGAAGTGACTGACTCCCCGACGAAACTCTCTAACCAAACAAATCAGAGCAATCTAATCAGTCTAATCTACATTATTCTAATGAAAAAAATTTGGCTCAGGCAGTGATTCCACACTTGTCAGTAGCATATAAGTATTCAGCCAAACTCAGTCATTGCTCACTGAACGGAGACGAATAACCGTGGTGATACGGTGAGCAGAAGTATAATTTGATAATAAAATATAAAGCTTATTCCTCATATTAATCTTTGCTGGAGTGCATCCCCCATTTCTGCTTCGAATTATTTTATTGACTATTAGAATAAATGTCTTTTGGTGAGCAGTTAAGTGCAAATAGAGGTTGCATGGGGAATCGCTGATTAGATTAGAAAAGAATTTAGCACTGTTCCTTCCTATTTAATACTTCTAATATTTCCAGCGAGAGGAGAGTAGTCCGAGTGGTGCTGAGGGGGAGGCTTCGTGCCTCCTTTCTTTCAAATCCGATCATCGTTAATCGTTTCACGAATATCCAGCGGTGATAAGCTAATCACAGATGGTGACTACTGGCGATAACCATTCACCTTTCTATATTCTCAACATTTTAACAGTTTTTAGGGAAGATTTTTCATAAAACTTAACTGACTAAATTTATTCTTGAAAATAAAATGCAAGGCAAAAGCGCTAGCAGCGAGTGGTTTCGATCGGCCGACCTCTGGGTTATGGGCCTCTAAAAACTAATATAAAATTTTTAAGTTCTCCAAATTTACCAAATCAAATGAAATAAAATAAAGAAATTTACAAGTAAAAGACACGTCGCATAGAGTTCAGTTAAACAGTTCACGATTAATGGATTTCGTATTTGGAAAATTTGTCGATAGCGTTCCAACTGCGACATTTTCCTCTTTTAGTATTCTGCAAGATTATCCAAATGAGAAGAAACACGTTAGCGGTTCACGTTTCCTTCTTCCTTTTCACGTTTTCACGTTTGCAATAGAAAACATTTTAAGTAAAAAAATGAATTATGGAAGAACAACGAAAAATGTTTTAAAATATTCATGGATTATTTGAGAAAAAACGGCAAATCACTAAAAAAGGTTAGTAAACGATAAGCAAAGTGGCCAGAACCCTTCCATTAACGAGACAAGTCTTCCCAAAAGACAAATCTCAATTGCCGACTTTTTTAGCGAAGTGTCGCACCTCTAGTAGATTTTACGATTATCTATATTAATATTGATCGGCTGACTTTTTTCTCGAAATTTCTTTAGAATCTTTGTAGTTTAGAAATAAAAAATTGATTAATTGACAAACTTAGTACCATTCCTTTTTTCGAGAGGAGTAAACCTATGATGAAAGCGGATGGGGGGGGGGGTGTGAATGCTGAAGAGACTCTGAAAGGGGAACGAACGGCTTGGCTGTCTCCATACCGCGTCCCACCAATTGCGAATTCCGATCGCGTCGACTGCTCCGCGAACCCACAACACTTCATTTAATAATGCTGGAAGGCAGCACCGTTCAAACACCTTTCTCCAGTTAAATTAAACTCTCCTAGCAATTCCTTTCATCGTTTCCAATCAAACAACAGCCGTCATGGTTGAAAGAAAGAATGAAATCGCCGTAACTCACTTTCGGCACCGATTTGTGGCAAAACATTTACCGATGCGAGAATGGAACAGTAAAAAGTCGGATTTAAGCCGAAAATTGATAACGTGATAACGCAAAACGAATGAGTGAAAAACCCATCGGCTTTGCAACTTTTATAGCAATGAGATTTGACATTAAAAGATATTCTATGTAATCAATTTCGTCAGTTTTTCTTTTTCTTTCGGACATTCTCGACATTCTAAAATCCAACAATTTTTAAAGTTTTCTTTTTTTAAAAAAGGCGAAAAAGAAAGGAAAAAAAGAAGTAAAATATCAGAAACAAATTGATCAAATCAAAATATTCACTGAATTTAGTTGGCGCTGAATGTTTCAGGGCTTGGACTCAGGCACCACTCGTTGTTATCGTTAGATACTTTCGTAGAAGAGTGGTGGAAGTGGACCCCTCGCATTGTCCGAATTCCTCAACGACCTGCCAGAGGCCACAAACGATAACGATAATCCTCGCCTGTGCACGTTTATTCTTTGAATAAGAGATGCAGTATGATAACCTCGGTAACCTGAATAACAGTACAAAAGCCGCAATATTATAAATACCAAAAGATGGTAACTGCATGAATTCAAATAAATAATCGTCAAATAAATCAACAAACATTATAATTACAATAATCGAAAGAATTCAATAAAATAATTTTTTCCTACTCAGGCAATTGAGCGATTTCTATTCATCGAATACTAAATAATCCAGAAATCGAAGGAGGAAAAAATTCCATAGTCTTCTTGGCCTTGTTTGCGGATATTGATTTATCAAAAGGCTTGGTTTTGAACAAACTTACTTCCTTACTCGTAATCACCATGGCAAACTTGAGAATTGAAAGGCGACTAAAAATCGAAATCGTCATGGAATATGTAAATGATCACGTTCACTCGTAAAATAATATCGAGTACAAAAGAACTGCCAATTCGTGCATTTTGGCCAGAAGACGTACTTATAAAACGGTTATGGCAGAACTGACAAAATTGAATATTTAAGACTTAGGTGATAGTAAGCCGTTAGCATTTTCAATTAGCGTCACTTCACTGGCGATGCCATAGAGCTTGGAGATAAAAGTACGCAGCAATACCTGAACTTGTTAATGACACT